GGGGGGGGGGGGGGGGGGGGGGGGGGGGGGGGGGGGGGGGGGGGGGGGTAGTGGATCCGCCGAAGAAACGGGAACAAAGAGAGCCAAGAGAGCAGTCGCGTTGTTTTTTCTTCGCATTTGCATTATTGATAGTGACGATGACGCCCAGTGACAGCAAACCAAAGACCATAAATGTGTGATTATGTTGATTGCCTGTTGCTTGTGTCACTGAAATTATGATCAACAGCATCGCACTGTTTTATTTAACTGCACTTAAACGCACCTGCACTCAACTTATTAATAAATCATTGATAATGACAACCAAGAGCACCAACAGCACCGTCACGCCTTCCCACACGCACTGTTACGTATTGATGTGCAATAATCATACGGTTATAACCACCTGATTTCAGGTAATCGACGAGTGCTGGGGGACGTGAGACTGTGACTAATTCAACGTGAATAAAAAAAAGGCGAGATAAAGGGGGAAAATAGGAAACAACGAAGGGAAAAAAAACCTCAACGACGGAAAGAATAGACCGAGTGTACAATTGATTCTGTTACAGTTGTTCAGTTCAGTCTCAATTCTATTTATTTCCTACCTTCTACCCCCTTGTTCATCCACTCTGACCTCTCTTCTTCCTCTCCCCTTCTTTCCTTTTTCCTCGTGTCTTCTTCCTCTGTAGCGCGCGCAATCACTCGCCAGCCCCCCTCCCCCCCACCTCAAACCTCCGACCAATCTTCCTCTTATTATTTCTCTCTCAATAAGTTTTTTTTTCCCTCAATCTCTCCTCTTCGGTTTTACTCTCTCCATTCTTTTTTCCTCTCGTCTTTATTTTTCCCTCTTTTTTCTTTAATACTCGAATCACGTACAAAGCGCTGTGCGTCGATGCCTGAATAAAACTTGGTTAAACAAAGAAGAGGAAACGTTAGACGGATCGATTTTGAAAGTGGTGGTTGGCTGGCAACGTATTTTCCGCGTAGGTGGAAAAAACAAGTGGTCGCAAGCGTCTCAAGTGGAAATCACGATAATAGTAAACTATCAATTGAAAAGTTGCATTACAGCAAAACGTATTTGCCGCGTTGGATACACTTTGTAAAAAGAAGAAGAAGAAAAAAGTACAGTAGAAAATTGTTTGTTAAAAAATTGATAGATATGGCTTGTCAAATGATATGGTTATTCGGTTATGTGAGTCTTGGATTGGCATTGACACTTGGTAATCGTCCAAGTGTACATATTAATCAGCGTCCACAGGTTAGGTCGAGATACGATCATCGTTCACGTACAACTGACAATGAATTACCACTGGCATCAACAGCCACTGTTGTCATTGGTAAAAATGATAAAAATACGGACATCGATTCGTCATACAGATTTGGTATGGAATCAGTGCCGTATGATTTACCGCCGGACTGGTTGATATACGACAAGAATGCCTGGAATTTGCCAGACAAACAGAATAGATTAGACGGAGGTAGAAATGGAATTTATGATAATGGAGTTATTGATGATTTCACGAGTGCTGTTATTGAGACACTTTATCCACATAAAAGTAATGATAAAATGAGTGGTGATTATTTTGATGATAGAATGGATGATACATTGAAAAGTGTTAATGATAGAACATCAGTATATGATGGTACAAGTGATAATGCGCTTCCAATTGATAATCACTATGATTTTATGAAAAAACGTATGTTACAACGTAATTCACGTAATGGTGGGGTTACGATGAAGGAGAAGGGTGTTTTGCCGATGAAAAAAGCTCCAGTATGGCCGTTAGATAATGTAGATGATGCGTGGCAAGTACATGCCAATGATGACATTAGGAGGAATAATGATGGTGCTTATGATAGGCCAATGGGTAAACGTAATTATGGTAGTGCAACAGGACGTAGAAGGTCAACTAGTGATACACGATCGCAAACGAACCTTCAAGTACAGTCGCAATCTTCATCATCAGTGCCGTCGTCACCTGGTGGAACAGTGGGTGGTATGGCAACGCAAATCATGCTGAGGGCATCACGTGGCAATCGACAATACGACGTACCACAAATTGGTGAGTGTCTTTCACTGTTATTTTCTTCTCTACCGTGTTTCACTATTGCGCTGGGGTGGCTTTTCTTTCTTTCTATCGTTATTCTATCTATCGTCAGTATGATATATAATTGGAGAATTGTTTTGTGTGCGGAGATATAGGGATGTGTGGTGCTGAGTCATCGGGGGTTACCGGATATGGAATAGGAGGGATATTTACCCATTCGGGGCTTTTGGTTTTGATGAGGGAATATTTCTATGGGAAAAGTGAAAATCTTTGGGGAGTTATTTGCTTCGAGCTTAGAGACTGATTATCGGTCATTGAAAATGTGTATTTTTATTTAAGAATTTTATATTTTTGCTTCAAAATGAAAGATCTATTTACCCATTCGGAGATTTTTATTTTGATGAGGGATAATTTGATGGGGGAATCTTTCTACGGGAAAAGTGAAAATCTTTGGGGAGTTATTTGCTTCGAGCTTAGAGACTGATTATCGCACATTGAAAATGTGTATTTTTATTTAAGAATTTTATATTTTTGCTTCAAAATGAAAGATCTATTTACCCATTCGGAGATTTTTATTTTGATGAGGGATAATTTGATGGGGGAATCTTTCTACGGGAAAAGTGAAAATCTTTGGGGAGTTATTTGCTTCGAGCTTAGAGACTGATTATCGCACATTGAAAATGTGTATTTTTATTTAAGAATTTTATATTTTTGCTTCAAAATGAAAGATCTATTTACCCATTCGGAGATTTTTATTTTGATGAGGGATAATTTGATGGGGGAATCTTTCTACGGGAAAAGTGAAAATCTTTGGGGAGTTATTTGCTTCGAGCTTAGAGACTGATTATCGCACATTGAAAATGTGTATTTTTATTTAAGAATTTTATATTTTTGCTTCAAAATGAAAGATCTATTTACCCATTCGGAGATTTTTATTTTGATGAGGGATAATTTGATGGGGGAATCTTTCTACGGGAAAAGTGAAAATCTTTGGGGAGTTATTTGCTTCGAGCTTAGAGACTGATTATCGCACATTGAAAATGTGTATTTTTATTTAAGAATTTTATATTTTTGCTTCAAAATGAAAGATCTATTTACCCATTCGGAGATTTTTATTTTGATGAGGGATAATTTGATGGGGGAATATTTCTACGGGGAAAGTGAGATCTTTGCGGAATTATTTGCTTCGCCCTTTGAGACTGATTATCGGTCATTGAAGTTTATATTTCTGCGTCGGAATGAAAGATTTTTGACGTTCTTTACGTGTGCAGGGGGATTTTTTCTTTCTCTACATCGTTTTTCAACCTATCATCAGTATGATATATATAATTGGAGAATTGTTTTATGTGTGGAGATGTAGAGATATATGGTGCTGAGTCATTGAGGGTTACCTGCCCATTCGGGGCTTTTTTATTGTGGTGAGGGAAAAATATTTCTGCAGGAAAACTGAGAATCTTTGGGGAATTATTTCTCACTTCGAGACCGATTAGGAATTTTCCATTTTTGCTTCCGAATGGAAGCTTTTGGTTTTCGCGTTGCATGGGATGGGGGACTTTTTTTGCTGTATATCGTTATTATTTATAGCTATTGTCAGTATGATGTATAATTCGAGATATATAATTAGGTTTTAATTGTTATTTTGGTGCTGGGAACACGAGATGAAAATATTCTAAGCACCGAATTATACTGATGATATGTGAATATCAACAGTTGACAACAGATGAATTGAATTATCGCGTGAACTAACTAAAAATTGATAACAGTGTGGGGATGCAATTTTACCAGGGTATTAACAAATATTGAATTCCAAAAATGCACTCTGAACTTTAGAGTGGAAGTGTGTTCTAGAAGGAATTAGAAGCATAGGTGATACTCAAATTTACCAGCTGATGAATTGGGACATACACTGTTAGAAATTTTCGTCTGAATTTTCGATGCCAAATTCCGGAAATTTTTATGGTATATTTTCAAGTTCCACTGAAATTTTAGAAAATCTTGTTTTATGATTTCAGGAAATCTTATGATTCCAAGAAATCAATAAAATACTTGATTTTTCAGTTCAATTATTCCGCGGAAATTCAGAAAAATCAGGAAAATTCAGGGAAAAATTGAAATTTCATATAATTTTATTTCTGATTATTTTTCCAACACAAATATCGGGCAATATAATTGGCCCATTCGACATCACGTGGTACAAGCTACAGGGTTTTCAACTGATAATTTTTTGATAACTCGTGCTTCGCACTCGTGATTTTTTAACCTGAAAAACTTGACTCCTTCGTTTGTTTGCAACGAACCTATCGGAAAATACCCGATAATTTTGAAGCTCTTGTGGTATTCCAAGTGAATATTCATATTCCACTGAAAATTCAATCATGTTATGATATTCCATCTCACTCCCACTGAAAACTCATGAATTTCCGTGAATTCTACTTAAAACTTGAAATTTCAAAAAAATTCCAACAGTGTATGATTCTCATCGCTCGTATTCCTTTTTGCAATGAGAATGATTGCAACCAGTTAATTGAAAAAAGGAATATCGAATCTGACAGGAAAAAGGGCGCTAGTGCATAAAATTCCCCCTGAAATTCCTAAACCCCCTCCACCTGTAAAACCACTCCCTCAGATTAAAAATTTTACATTCCACGTGGTCTCAGTTTCCCCCAGAATTGCATAAAATAACCTAGGACAAAGCCGGGGAGTCCCGGCGATAGTTATACACAACAGCTCTGGGCTACGTGCGCCCTTTCGCTTGCGTTCTCTTCACACAGATATTCCTCCCTGTAACGACATAATGAATCTCGGGGTTAGAATATCCCGCAGGGGATCTAGGAACTTCGATCCAGCCACTCATCCTCCATCTCACTCTTTTCTATCTTCGCTTCTTTTTTTTTAAGTTCATCTGTCCCTCTCGCAGCCTCCTACGTGCGCTCTCAATTCCCCTCGCATACACCCGCGCTCTCTTCTTTTTTATCTCGTCTCCTTTTTTTCTCTCTCGGTCTTCTACTTTACTGCCGAGTACCTATAGCTTTTTTGCCCATTGGGGCTGTGCGTCTATATCGAGTCGCCCACGCCGCTCCTTTTTTTGGGTGTGTGGGGAGTTCCCTTGATTTAGAGGGCCGATGGACCGAGCACGGTGCCTCAATAAAAGTCGAGGTCCAAATGTGCATTTCTATTGTTCAGACAAATGTACATTATTCACCTGTTTTTTTCCGGTCACCACTTGGAACGGTACTATTCTCGGTATTTTGTTCGGATTTTTTTTTATTAGTGTTAGTGATACGGAAACTCGTGGTAATGAATGGAGAGGCGGATGAATGGAAAAATATGCTTGGGGGAATGTAGAAATTTGCTGGGAGTTTAATACCTGAATTTCGGGGATTTTTTCACGTTTGGTTTGTTTGTTTCCGATTTGGTGTTCACTCGGACAGTTGTTTTTTAATAATCAGGGAAAGTTGACAATCAATTCAACAGACGGATGATGATGCAGAATTAGTTAAGATGTGTTTGAATAAATAGACTTTGCAGTCTTGTTCGGAAAAAGGAACAGAAGGGTTGACCTCATGTCTTTTTTGAAGGAATTTCTAATTTACGGAGAGAAATTTTTGATTAAAATTATAATACCGTTCTGTAAAAGTGTATCGTGAGTCATCGTTTCCTCATTTCTATTTCCAAATTTAGGAAAAATTAATGTGATTATAAAATTTTATTCTACGCTAGAGAAATTTTATCCTGACGCATAATAAATTTTACCCTTCCAGTCCAATAATTTTTATGTAGATAACGCAAATTCTCGAACGGTTGGTAAATTTTACCCTAGCGGTACAGTAATTTTTACTCTACCGGCAGGGTAATTTTTATTTTTATCAGGATAAAATTTCTGTACTGTAGAATAAAATTTGTTCCTCATATATTAATTTTTACTAAATTTCATAATACACTTTTATAGAACGGTAGGATAATTTTTATCAAACATTTCTCTCCGTGTAGTCATAGAAGACATAGCCATGGAAGTTGAGACAATCAATTCTGCCGACGAATGATGAAGAAAAATTTGCGAGGGTGTGTTCACGTAGAAAGATATTTCCGCAGCGAAGCGGTGAAACTGTTCAAGTCGATGTTGACTACTCGTCAATTTTCAATGCATATCTCGGAATCCAAGGCGAATAGCACAATTTTTGTTATAACCTTTTCTATAGAACAAATCGAAAGCTACAAAAAAGGTTATTATGAAAATTACGGTATCTCCCGCAGATCCGAAGATATTTCTCGAAACATCAGCTACGAGCTAAGTCAACTTAAATCGTTTTACCGCTTCGCTTCAGATTTAATCTTGTTTGAAAAACAAAACAGCCCATTTATTCCCATTCAATTTTTTATGGAATTTCTTGTGCAAGGAAGATTGCTTTTTTATGAGCAATGAAATGATTACCTATTCATTGCCGATATTTAGTAATGATGAATATTCCCTCTTATACTAATTGCTAAAGTAGTCGGAGTTCCTCGGGGCAATTCTGTGAAAACTTCTCCGGTTGCTGAAAAGATAATCTGTTCTGAATTACAATGAAACTTCATGTGTTTATTTCCCATGAGAGAATAAGGAGTTCTTTGATAACGAGAAGAAGCGGTTGATAAATTATTAATTAAAGAATAGGGGGGATATATATAGAAAGAGTTGGATAATAGAATCATTATATAATCTCTCATCGTCCCAAGTATCTAAAGATTTAAATGGTCGTTCATTCCTGCCCACCCCCGCACCAGACATGAATTAGGTGATCTAATTATGATTATGGCTGGGTTTGATTGACATCGCAATCAATGCTTGTGGTCAGCCTTCGCCCAGTGCTGAGCCAACACTTGTTAATCAATATTGTGCCCAATTGCAATACCCTTAGCTCATGACGTTATTAAGAAGTATAGACGAATCATCACCAGTAGAGGAGAGTAGTGATGCCGCGAGAGACTTTACGAGACAATGCTTTGGAGAGATGATCTCGGTCAGAATGAACCCA